CATAATAAAAATTATATTTTGCTTAAGTGTCACGTCCACCATTAAAAAATACGGCATAGAAGAAACTTAGTTTGCTATGAAATTAACTTCTGCTCTGTGACCCAATGCTTCAACGCTGCCCGAGTTCGAGTGCCGTTTATGTGCTGATGAGACTCAGTTGAGTTCGGAACTGCAGTCCATTCCGGTCTGAATGGAAGTATGGTCAATTAAAATTCACTGGAAAGGAGGAAGTTGAGTTTCTCGACTTTTCTTTTCGAAGAACAATTTGGCTGGACGTAACTCGTGAATTAGCCTCATCGGAAACCGAAGAGAGATTGTCGCGGAGTGGACTATTTTGTAAAGTATGGCGACATCTGTCGCATAAATGAGGAGAGATTGGCACGCTTTCTTGTTCACAAATTACAACATTACCTCCTTCCGGTTCCTTCGGATCAACTGTTCCTTCGAAATGAAATGTCAACTCACATTTCATAACCCGAAATTGGATTGAATGTCTAAACGTGTCATTGACGGTCAACTGCTAGCCTCAAAATCCCACTCATTACGAATACAACCTGACGACTTCCACTTCAGGATTAGTGTCTACGTCTGCCGGCGGTTACACGACGTGCCAGAGCTGGAGAAGAAGTCGGTTGAGTGACGTCACCTGACTCTGGCAGCGGATCTATCGCAGACTGTAAAGGCGTCCGGGTTGCCCACAGCCCAGAAATTCGTGGGAAAAACAGGCCTGACGACACGGACAAAGGCTTTTGCGTGAACCGGGGGCAACGTCAAAGCGACTTCTATCACGGTCCAAGTCAATGTTCACAAAGCCGGCTCTGAGGTGGCGCTGACACCTTCTTCCCCTCCCCCCAGTTCAGCCGGCCCCCGAGACACGGGAAGCGCTTGGTGCCGGGCCAACCGAAGCAGCATCTGCGCACCAAACGTCTTTTGCCAACACTCTTTTGTTCTATCGCCATCCGCAATGTGTTGAACTGGGGCTACGCCAGACTCAAACTGTACCTTGCTGGCCTTTGTTGTCCGTTCGGGAGTTGGGGGGGGGGAAGTGGGTGGTGGCAGTTTTAAAGCGGCGGAAGTTGCCGAGCCTGTGTCCACGAGGAATGGCGACTCTGGAACACACTTTTCTTCTCCTTTGTCTCTTTGGCCCGGGTACGGAAATCGGCCTGGCAAAAGGATCTATCTTCTTCTCTCTTGTCTCTTTGGCCCATTCTGTCTGGCCGGCCATGGGCCCCATCGGTCGCCCCTTAATGCGCATATAGAATCACATCTCGACGATACAGTATGACTGTAGCCCGCCTTTGTGCTCGGTTATCCCAATCCGGCGAGGCCTAGACCGAGGCGCAGATTTCACGGCCAGTAGCTGGGCGGACGGCACGGCCTGAATGTGAATGTTGAGGTAATTAGTAGAAAGTTAATCGGACTAAAGGCGAGCCTCAGAAATAAGCTGTCCCCTGGTATAAAGCATGTCTAATTCGTGTGTAGTCCTGTGGCCACGGTGAGGCGTTGCCCGCCAACATGAGGTCAACATGTATTCAAGCTGTATGCGAGGCTGGATTTCGACGAGTAGTCTCTCCGATCATGCCACTAATGATGATAATAATGATGCATTTCGTCTCGTCCGACGGTGGGAAGTAAACAAAAATCTGACCGATAATTCAAATAGGAGCTTACAAAATGGGACATTCTGATGGGCCTAAATCATCGAAATCAGTTATTGTGAAATTAAGTGTCGGTATATAACCACCAGAATAGATGATATTGCCATTTACAGACGTTTCGCCTACATCTTATTCAGCATCGTCACAGAGTACAATGGGCTAAAATGCATCCAAGTGATGAGGCCAACTTCTTCAAGTGTAACTGGGTTTTGATGAATCTTTTAAGATAGATTGTCTGAGAAGGTGAAGGATAGTACTGAGCTTGACGTCAATCATGCCAGGGAAATCTTGTGTTCTCAGTTGCAGTAATTTAATTGTAATGAA